CAATAGAATAAATATATATGTGGTATTGAACGATTTAAAATATGCGGTTGTAAACGGTAAGTTTGCGGTTTGATCTTATTAGAATCGTTAAAAATCAGTTATTTTTCCTAGACAAATCATTTAGAAGTAATCTTATTGCGACTCATATATTTTTCCCTATATTTTAACATTTTTTGTGAAATAAAGTGCTCAAAAATTACAGCAACTCGTAATTAGTATTGAAATGGTCGACAATTTTATGATCACGTACGTGGTAGAATACTGTATTTTCTTATAGATATATTATTGACAACATTTTATTTCGCTATATAAATCAACTAATTTCAAAGAAAAAGAAAAAAAAAACATGTCGTTTCGATATGCAGACCATTACCGACAGTAAAAAAACACAAGTGAGTATTTTTTATGCTTGCCCGGTGGGTTAGTGTTATGAAAAATGTTTCTTCAACAGTACATTTAATTAATATTGATCATAGTATCCCAAGAGAAATTAAATTGTTTTGTATTGTGCCATTTTGAAATTTAATTGAATAATTGTCTAACCGAATATTCGAATATTTATTATTTACTTTGAAATAAATGTCATCATACCTAATTACGGCTAGCGAATAAAATGTTTATTATTGTTTTCTTTTTTACAAATACGTTTATAATGATATACTTGCTATATATTAAGAGTCATATTCTTTTCCAATTTCTTTGCAAATCGTGACTTTTTATTGAAATCTGAACGAGTCATACAATTAGTTTTAAGATAATAGTTACGAATACTAGCCTCAGCTTGCAAACAGTTTATTTTACCTGCATTTAGTTGAATAAAAAAATAATAATGACGCGGAAGTGTGGAAGTGTAGGATATCGATATAGTAGTGTCACTAACACTGTATCAATTTTTTTAATATTATATCTGTATAACTTATTATTTAGCACGTGATCAACATACATATATATAAAATCCGTTTAATCAATAATTTAAAATTGAATTCATTTTTAGATTTATATTGAAATGATTTAACGGTTTGACGCAATTGATGAAATCGAGTGTCATCGGATAGCGTATAATATGATACTGACGGATATATGCAAAAGAAAAATAATATCAGAATTATAAAAATATGCAATGATAATTCTAATAGTTGAATAACGAAAACGTTATTGTTATTAGGTGTTATTGAGAAAATGAATTATTAATTTATACTTCTAGGTTATTTTATGTTCTCAGAGTAGTGCTTGAACACTATAAATACTAAAATTATATTAAAGTTTAATAAATGGAGAATAATTTTAAAAAAATCTTAATTGTTTATTTAACGCTTCGATAAAATATTAAAACACTTGAAAATATTTTTTTTTGTTTCTTAAGTATAAATCTACTCTTCAAATTATAATCTCAGCACGATGTTTCGAGTGACTGAGAATTCAAATTCAAAACAACGGTACATGGATAATTGATGATAGTCGTCGACAAGCGATGAAGGTTTCGTAAAAATCATTAAGACGGTGAAAGAGAATAAAAAAAAAAAAATATTTCATTTTTACTGAATCAACTCTAGGCCTATTGCATTATTGGTATAAGACAAAGATCTCGCGTGAGATTTAAACGGTTATGAATGAAACGCTACAAGCGTCCCATTTCGTTGCAATTCTGACCAGAATTCATGCACTACCATCGCGGTGCAATTCGTATTCTATTAAAATTCAGTAAGTGCACGCGCGAACAAGTGACTACACATATGGTAAATAAGTTATGATTGAGTTGAGTTCGAGAGTTCAAATCGTTAACGTTTCACCGAGGAGATCGTAGTCAATACTTCTAAAACCGAGGAGATCGTTGGGTATACGAGTTAGTCGGCAAGATTGCGATGCACCGGAAATAAAAAAAATCAAATGACAATTTTTATACAAATCAAGTAGATGAAGATTTGTTTGAAGTACTAATACTAATCAACTGACATTTAAATAATAGTAAACCGAAATTTTGCGAATTTTTCCGTTTCAATTATGATTATTTTATATGTTCATTCTGTCGTCGGTAAAGAAATAATCGCATGTGATTAGATACCTACCATTGCTATCGGATCAATACAGTCGGAAGCCACAACGACTATTTTTGAAACGCAAAAGTCGATCGCACATTGGAAACCTCGTTCCTAGATTAGATAACGAACGGTCATAAACGACTTGTCGTTGCGACCTGTCGCATACAGGAAACCGTACCTTTAAGGCGTTCGATAACGAACAAAAGCGCACTACGAGAACATGCACGTCGTTTGTGCGGCCGGCGAACAGGACACGCCGTCAGGTAAGTATTATCTGACCGTACGCACACGAGAGTATACGTGTCCTACGAGCGACGGTGCGATTTTCACACGAAAGAACGGCTCGTGCGACGTCCGTCATTTCAGTCGCAATGTCTTTTCGTTTTAGCTTTCACTCTCCTATTATGGCTGGTTACGTTTAATTATTTTACGCTAAAGTGATGCGCGTGATAAACAATTATACAATTTGCCGCCCCGGTTCACTTGGGTTTGTAATTTATTACCCAACGAGATACCGCTGGAATATTGGTAAAAGTGTGGTCAATATATATATATATATATATATATATATATATATATATATGTATAGTTTCCATCCCATTAATCCTCCTTGAGAAGCTTACGCACTTTAGGAAAGTGTCAGGAAGTGTATGACGCGGTAGCGGGTTTCGCTCTCGTTCACGTTATTTTCGCTTTCCATCGGGTATTGTGATGACGGGCTAGTGCGTCCGTAGTGCTCGAATTCGAGGATAAAGTTTCAATTTCAATTTATTCGTACCTCTGACGGTGCATCGTTCATGTTAATGAAGTTTTTAATCGCCCGGTTATTTAACACCTACTAAATCGAATGCTTCCAGTCAGCTGCCACAGTCGTTTGTCAATCGTTGATAATAATGAACGCGCGCGTGTGTATTGTATTCGATTTCGTTACTAGTCGAAAATTCACAATCGAACGTAACGAGATCAACACTAGTAGGGAAAAAACTTTTTTTTTTTTGTTTGCGTTGTAACTTTTTGCTGGCCATTTCCACTGATTGTGTGTTAGGTTAGGTTAGGTGATCGGTTTCAATTAAAACGTACGCACGATTTTTCGTTAGTTTTATCGCAGATGTTCTGCGATAAAACATGAATGAATATCAAGAGCAAAAGTAGAACGAAACCGAGATTGATTTATCTACCGCAAGGGTTTTTTCGTTGCAATTGACTTGAAATAGTACAGCGTGTTTGAGAGCGGGCAATGCTTCGAATGAGTATGAACTTATTACGATGGAAGCAAAAAGAGCGAAATTGTACACATTAAATTAATATAACTAAAAAAAATACTACCGATAATTAAAACCAAAAAGTCAACAAAACGTCCGAATAAAAATGTAAAACGAGCGATGAATAATGTACAAATTTATAATGTATTTTTTTCCCTACTCCTAGAATTGTAGTCGTTGATAATTTTTATACATACGTTTTGGAGCAAACGGGTGTACCAATTACTCAAAACGTGCAATAAGTATTGTTCAATACTCAAATTCTCTACGACAAGGGTCACCAATATTTTTCAATAAATAAGTTGCAATCAAGTTTGTGACGTTTGATAAGTATTTATTTATATTATTACATTAGTGTATTTATAATAATAAAAGAAAAAAGATTATATTCGTAGAGTATTATTATATTTTACTATCATAAAATGAAAACATCAGATATGCAAAGTTTATAATGCTTCATTACTCCAGTCACACACACAGACACTACAACATGATTTTAGTGATCGGCAATGATAATTCGATGTGATATCAATATCATGACAAATTTTTAATGTCGGAATTGTTTTATATTGTACGATTTATCAGGATATCGAAATCAATATTTTTTTTGTTGGTCTTAGCTAATTGTTGTGATAAATTGTATTGTACCAAGTAATATTATCCGTCAGCCGATGACGTTTAGGGTACGTGTTCCGGGGAAACGTCAATTAGTTATTATTTATTACATCTTTTGACTGTTTTAATGTAATCTGTAAAAATATGAGTATTCCGTGTTAAATGATTTCTAATTGTTCATTATTACTTAACGAAAACGAAAACCGATTGAAAATCATCTGCATGCGAACAAATGCGTAGAACGTTAATTTTTCGTGTTGACCTGTAATGAAGTGTTGAAAAGTGCGATCGAAAAAAAAATCCCATACGTCATGTAATTATGTTTTTTAAAACAACGGGATCGCTGCTCCGAGGTGGCACACGATTCCGTATAATATACCTTTTTAATTATCCGATTCCGCGTATTTTCATAGTACAAAAATTTTTTTTTACTTAACCTAAACTTAACATGATTCCATATAAAAATTGTTGCGACGTTGCCAGTTTTGAGGAAAAATAGTATAGTAAAACGCATTTAAATTCTGTCGTAAACAATAATGTAGTTTGGTTTTTACGCATAAACATTAAATATATATTCTCTATAGTTGAAGTAAAAATAAAATAATTTAAATTATCAGTCAAATTAGTTAAATAATTAAAACGAGTAGTAAATTAAAAATCACAATAACAATGATAATGCGATTGCAATTAAAATGCGAACGGGTATCGAACAGGAAACCGATGGGTCCAAATAAAACATATTAACTCTGTACAAACTATTCAGATAAGCTAGTGTTTGGGGAAGAACCAAAATAACGTTATAACATATGGCTTATGTGTAATATTAATGTCAACCGTTTAAAATCATTCTTATAATACAATCGACAACGTCGCACTGTTAGTTTTGTGCGGAATCGGGAATCGCTGTGCTCGGAATGGCTTACACCGAACGGTTTTGTTCCGCGCAACGTTAGCTTTTTACCGTCCGAAAACCGCGAGCAAAGGTACGGGGTTCGCACCCCACCCGCACGCGCGCCTTCCGGGCTTTCCATTACCGTTGCGCACTATCCGATAGTGGGCGTCCGGGGATCCGCTATAGCTGTACCTGCTGGTGACAACTTCCCGCCGGATCAGGCTTCCGGTTCTCACGTTGATGCACGGCACGAACGAGAAGAACTGCTTGAATCCTTGGCGGAACCTGCAACAAAACAACATACGTGTAGTGCATTTGTTCGTCTAAGTTGTCCCGTGGACGGAGACTCGAACTCGCGCTGGAGGAATCAAAGTTAAAATCAAATATGATCAACCCGTGGTGACGCAAATCGTCTACTATAGGTAGAAAAAAAAATTTACGATCCGATATAAATTTGATTATTATTATAATTATTATTCTATGCAAGGATTGGCCGCTCTTGTAGGTACAGTTACAGTTTTATAAACTATTACTATATCATTACAAATATTTTTATGTTTGTTCTCTGAATGATTTACAAATATGTAGCGAATACGCGCGTTTTTCAAAAAATTATTTCGAGCATTTTTGATTATGAATGAGAATATATAATGAGGCCCCTCCAGCTCCCAAAATTCTGACTGTTTAAGATATATGTTTAAGATGAAAGATTGTCAAAATAATTCTTGCACCGAGCGCTGGAAGAGCTAAAGCCGACCCTGGCATTCGTGAACAGGTTAACGCCATTACCGCGATCGCCCCGATAAATAATACGTCAAACAATGCGTTTTTCGTCTCGAGCGATCGCACGTTTTGTTTTGATTTTCAATCGAAAATATTCCGAATTTATATCTTAAACAAACATCGGTTGGTTTTTCACGTTTAAGACTAGATTATGATGTCACATTGTCCATAATCCGATACGTTTCGTTTACGTACGTTGATATTTTTACCTAGGTCTCGTTAGTGTTGTAATGAAGAGTAACATTTATTGTTATCTTTCTATCAAATACTGCGTTTTATCGTCGTTTTTAAAGAGTGAAGTTGAACGATTATAGCAGGTGTCGCATTGTAAATCATAACATCACTATTATAACTATCGGTGGAACTGATTTATTAAAGCTTACAATTATCACGTAATACATATACGCACACGGACAGTTTGAACACCGAATGGACAATTTACGATATAATTACATCCGGAGGGACATAAACTTTTGTAATAAAAGCATTTGTAAATGATTTATCGATAATATTTTGATGAATATAATGAATTTAAAATAATGGTAGTTTATTTCTAACCTAATGGAAAACTGCGGTTAAAAATCGAAAAGTTTTAGACTATTATGTCAATCCATTGTATTTTTTTTAAAAACCCTAGCGTTTTTTTTTTTTTTTTTGCTTTTTGGTTTATTTTTAAATGTTACACACATAGAAAACTAATTACAAAAACAAACCATGAATAACAATTAGTAAGTATACATACTCATACACGTTACAAATAATAATAGAAAACTTTTGCACATTATAAAATATATTTAATAAATCATCGATGTAAAAAAAAAGAAAATGTATCAAAATGTTATGAATTTCTATAACTTAAACATACCCGTAGGCTATAATTTTTGGTTGAATTGGTATCGCATGGAAAATGCTTATTATACTATTTAACCTTATGTTATATTGCATTAGATATATAAACTGAAACTGGTTTCAATTGATAATTAGTTATAACTGTTATGATTGTTCCCTGTATACCTTTATTCAAACGATTCAAAAATAACTAGAAAAATATGTAGGTTGGTTAGTTACACAACTTTTTATTCTATCATTAACTCTTCGTTAAATTAGTACAAAAAACCTTAAATGTTCGCCGAATTAATAAAATAATTAGTATTTTATGTTTATCATAAAAAAAAATGGACTTAGTAAAAAAGTTGTAAAATTAAAAGTTATAGATAATATTATGTTCTTTAATAAAGTATTTTTACATTTTCATCCTACGTATAATAGTTTTAGAGTATAATTAAAAAAACCAAAAATAGACCATTTTCGGTAATTTTTCAACCGTGTTAAGGCACGGGAAGGAGATGAGTCATCAATACCAAATTTAATTTAATTAATTTTATATAGTATCAAATAAAATGAGGGGCAGGTCTTAGTATGAAATGTTTATAGTTAAAAATTAAGGATCACCCTAATACATATATGTATATATGTTACGGCTAGTGTTCGAAGGTTGGCTAAAATTAGGATTAGCCGGCTAATTAACCGGCTATATTAACCAAACGCAGTGGATAAACTTAAGTTAAGCTATACTTCTAACACTAGCCGTAACATATATATACATCGTTTGATTTGTTACTTTTACCCGAGAAATGGACAGTGAAAAAAACCATGTCCTTCCACTTATAATAGAGACAAAAATGTATTTTTCACGGCACTCGGATTCTAAAATGTATATCTTAACCCTATTAAATTTGTTATAACATTTTTTTTTTCGAGAAAATTCAAAATGCATTCATCATTATTAGTTTCAATAAATAAATCAAATATTGCATTTCTTTACAACAACATGAATGGTATTAAATTGCCTATACGTCGTGCCGTCTCGTAATCCTTGGTTGCACCATTTTAGTACACGATATTTTATAGGTTACATTTATTAAGCACTATAGTCGGTGTTAAACTTTCCAACCTACTGATTATAAAGTTTACTGCGTGGAAATGTTTGTAACTAATTTTCTACGCAAAGAATAAGCAACGCATAACTATTGTAGGTATAACTGACGGTTTCAACGATAATTAATGACAACGTCGTGGTTGCGATTAAATCCGAAATAAATAGTTTTTCCGAATAATGAGATTTTATTCACATCAAGTGTTGTACATACTGGTTTGGTAGTATGTACGTGTTGCGAATAAATATATTATTAATATGAGATCGAATTTATGCAAAAAAAAAAATATTAATTTTTTATTTACCCCCATATTTTGTAAACAACTTGTAAGAACTAATATCGTTTCTAAATAATAACACAAAAATAACACGGCACGATCTTTATCGAGTATTAATTAATTAATTACGTGTATAAATACTTCAACATTGAATGAAAAGCGCGCACCGAAGTAAACAGGAATACGTGTTGGTTATGTGATTATTTTAATCTGCATAATACTACCGTACGGTTATTTTACGTGTATTCAGTTCATCATTCATGTACTCATGTCTCGGGTTTTTGTTAGATTTATGCGCAATTTGCGAGAGCATGTCAATTAATTTATTGTAGGCTTATAAAATGATCTGCCACTAAAAGTATACTACCTCACGATGTTTACAGGTGGTGGGTGTAATGTTGGTTAATTAAAATAAAAAAAAAGATTTTCAATATTCCTTTGAGCGTATTTGATTTTACTAACCCCATTGACGTAATCCACTGTTATTTTCATCGAGACCATACAATTTTGGCTTTATTTTCTAATGTTTGTTCTGTTCTGTATTAATGATGAATATACTCACGCACGTGTAAAGCAACGTCAGAATAGCTTTCCGTTAGCTTACAATATCGAAGCGATTTTAACGTCATTGATAATAGCCATTGTGTTAATGCACGCGAGTTCGTAGGACGAAAATTGTAATTTCGATATTTATGCGATCAATAATTTTCATTAATCCATATATATTATATTTTATAGATAACCGGTAGATGGGTGGAGCAATGTTCGATTTGCCGGTATAATCTTAATATTGTATAACATTTCGGCACATTTTGAGTGCCGCTCCTTCAAAACGGTGCAGTGTGCGATTCGGCGATACTGTTTATGCCGTCTCGTAATGATCACTTGTAATTACTGTGAACGTTGTATACACATGAACACTTGATATCAGCGATTATTTCAGAGGTCTGTTGGGGTAAGGGTAGGGAAGTAATAATCTCTCTAAGAAAAACGATTGTTATTTTTGATGTAAAGATTTTACTGAAAAGTTTTTGTTCGCTCCTTTGAGTATGTTCGATAACCTCTTTCGATCCCACGGTAGAAGATTTGAAATAAGCACTACTCAATATATTCAGCTCGGTGACACGAATTACGAGGGTATTACTGTATCAACTTACAGCAAATAACAACATATCCAATGCGAGTTTCGACCGAACGAATCGGCAAAGTCCTCGTGTGTTTTCTTAATGTATTACTCCTTCTATTCCCCAAATCTGGTCGGGTCGTATCAATATTATTATAATGTAAATAGCGCGTGCCCATGCTGTTATAATTCGCATAGCTTTATTTGAAATTTAACTGGTATTAAGGGTAGTTACGATTTGAGTAGATAAAAAAAGGTCACGTAGGCTTGACAATTAAAATATGCAATATTATCAAAGATTTATTCATGTGTACATAATAAAATGATACTTTGATTTACATATATTTTCATATGTTTATGACACGTTTTATTTCGTTTTGATATTGCAATACGAATCGTTCTATTGGTCGCCGAAATGTTATTTATAACTTTTATTATCGATACCGCTATTTGTTTTTAATTTTCATAATTTCAAAAATAGAGTCATTACATTTTGAGGTTGAATATTTAAATTTTAAAAAACAATGAGAAGGAAATTCTTATATTTCTAACATAATCAATTTTAAGAAAACATTTTAGAAATTGGGTTGGTGAGTTAATAAATAAATTATAGTAAACAGATATTGATATTTTAGTGGATAAAATTAAATTTTAAGTTACAATAATTAATTTATCGGTATAAAAATATTATACTTTACAGTAAAATGAAGTTTATGAAAAGAATATTAAACTTACACAATGCAGTATATAACAATCTATAAAGATCCGAAAAAATCAAATATTTATTAAAAATTATTTAAGATTTGAATTTATCCTATAAAATCATGGTCCGTGTTCTCTAATTTTAATTAATTACATCTGGGAAAGGTTAAACATTTTAGGTCCCATAGCAGAGATATGTTTATCGTTTTTATAATAAGATAATACCATTCTTTTCAAAAAAAATTATTCGTCATATTATTTTTAAATATATTTCACATATTCCCATAAAATGTAGTTTATTTAATGTTATTACGATAGTGAGTCACGTAAAACGATAACACAAAGTGATGACTTAAAATTATCGAGTCTTATAGATTGTTTTTTTTTATATAATATTGAAATTTATAGTTTCACATTATTTTAAGATAAATATTGAATTTAATCCTTAGAAAAAAACTAAATT